GATATGACGTATTCAGTACTTAGTGTGATTGGCTTTATGATTGAAGGTTACGCCCTAGAGTCTTTTTACTGCTTTGTAATTGGTTAGAGTTTTGAAAATGAATAAAGAGAGTTTGAGTTGGTCTTGGCGAATACTCCAGGACAGACGCAGCCTTGGGCAGTCGAGTCCAGTCCGAGAGAGTCCAGGGGCGAGCCTTGAGGCAGTCCAGTCTTGGGCGAGTCTTGGTTCAGCCTTGCGAGAGTCTTGGGGACTTTTCCCCAGGGCGCTGTGTCTTACAGAGTGCTCGATTGACCGACTAAGACGAGAGCTGAAACGTATTTCGTTGTGTGTGTCTTATTTGACTGTAAAGTATAAGTGATTTTCCCGATCCCGTACCTCAAGGGGACGAGATAGAGAGACGAGACGAGTTTCCCCCCTGGCAAGTGTGGAGAACCCGAGAGAGAAGAGAATTTACCCCTGATATTTCGCTGACTGGAAAATGTGCTAAATTAAAACCCAGTGAATTTGTAAAATTGAGCATAGAACACATTATCTGAATGATAAATCCGTGAATTTAAAACCCACTCAATATGCCTGATATGCTAAATTAGCGAAATTTAAACCCAGTGAAAATTAGTCATTTTACAGTACTGTGTTTTGTTTTCCCCAGCGTCAAATAGGTGTTCGCCATGTAATTAAGCATATTTAACACTTCCGCCACCATTGCCTGATCAGAAAAAAGAAAAACAATATAACAAATGTCAATCTTTTCTTCAGAAACACTCCACCTAAATAGCGTTAAGATTTTCACTGTTCGGAGTAATACATTAAGGAATGTATATCAGCAATATAATCAATGGCAGGTGTAGAATCGCTGAAGAGTTGGACTCAAAATACGCAGGAAATATCACCTAAATTATTTACACAATCTCTATTAGTCTGGCTAAATACGTTACTTTAATTAATAAATCGATTGAATGCAATATTCTGCTTGCAATCAACTAACTTTATGCGTTGAGTTGAATCAGTATGTTAGTCAAGAAAGTAATATGAACAGCGGAGTCTTTATTATGTAATGGACGATCAGGTGCATTAATTGTGGATTGACTTAACGGCCGGTGGTCGTCGTGGCACGTCCTGTTCGTTAGGGGCCCACATGTAAAATACAGACTACCTGTTTTAAACGATGGAAATGCTCACTGCAGAACGACGCATTTAAAATCAATCATCAACATTTCGTATCACTCAGCAATGAACATGTGCAACTTGTGTAAAATGAATTCCATTACATTTACATTCCATTAATTAACATACAATATAAATTACAAATATAAAAGACTGCGATGCAAAGAGCGGCTAGTTTTATTCTTTATTACTTCAAAGACAATCTTTTTCTCACTAAATTATAAATCCTTGAGACATAAGATACCTGTAGGACTATGGTACCCGAAGACAGCACTTTTTACAATTATATATGTCTAAATGTGGGACATATACCTACTGCCTTTGAATCGAGCCACAGTCTTTTAGAATTTGAGTCCAACGTATGAATAAATAGATGGGAGGGAACAAACCAGCCACTGGCAAAATAGTAAATAAACCAGCAGCCTCTCGACTGAGATAGCTCCGCTGTTAGCAATGTACATTTCAATAAAAGAATTAAAGATATAATTAGAAAATGAACAAATCTGAGAGAGGTTTACCTGTAGTACCTATATGTATAATATCAAAGCAATCAGACTTGCCGTTTTCAATAAAAATACAAAAATATTCACCAAATTCAGAGAATCAAAGATATCGTGAAATAAATAAATTCGAGGTTTACCTGTAGTACCAATGTCTAATATCAAAGCAATTGGACTAGCCGTTTTCAACAATAAGTCAAAAATATCACTTTTCACCAAAAATAATCATCAAAATTTGAGACTTAAAGATATCATCACGAAATGAACAAATCTAAGAGAGGTCAGGGTGGCATTCTGCAGCTCGATTCATTTGTGCTGACATTTGTGCTATTCATTTCGTGTTTCACAGTGTGAAATTTTCTCAAGATATTATTAGGCAAATGAAAAAAATATGCGGGTTTGGGTTAGGGTTTCGTGGAAAAGACTAAGCCGATGCATGTCTATTTCTTATTTCTATTCCTTGGTTAAAAAAAGACATTGGGTTGACTTGAGACAGGTTCATCAATTACTCTGAAGAGCATCCCCCAGGTTACATCGAGTAGAAACAGACGTAGTACCATCTTCACATTCCACGTGAAGCTTAGATTCAAAAGTAAGTTCATACAGTTGTTTGTCAAAGGGCGGTCAACAGTGTGACTGAAGCTAGAAGTGGAGCGACTTTTGTTATTGGTGTTGCTGTGAACAACTAGTAGCAAGGTAGTTTATGCACATGAATTTTAAACACGAACTAGGCAATAGGCAAAATGGGTTCCAACGTGACACGTTTCACAGGAGCAGAGAAAACAATTGCATTTGTTGATTTCACGAAGGTTTGGCATACATATAAATATTTTCATTAAAAATAACTGGTGAGGTCGCTGTAAACTCATTATCAAAACAGAAACAACATCTCGCTAGTGACATCTTACCACAAATTATGATAATTTAGATCCATAAGATTCAGCTGCGACATCACAGACTTAACAAGCACAGACAGGCTCCTACCTGGCTTTGTCCTTTATCAAAGGCCAATCGATGTTTAGTTCAATCAATGTGGTGGCTCAATAGACGATCTCCACATTATGTATTACACCAAACATTACGTGCAATGAATATTAATAACTTTATATAAATAGAACATGTCATCTGCCACTGGTATCTCAATACGTCAGACATTGCAAGATAACACGTTATATAAGGCTTAGCTTCACCTTAGAGCACACGATTAGTACATAACACTGCACACAATGTTGTGGTGGGATGTAATGGATTTCCTTTTTCAGCTATGACTGATTATATTATACATGTACTATGTTTATTGGCCCAACAAGTCAAGAAGCATGATGTAATTAAACCAGGCTCATCAACTATGATACATTGTATATATTCATTTCTGAATTAGTGGCTAATAGGTGTATGTAGTATGATTTCATTGACATGGTTAGTTACTCTCTAAGATATCTAGTGTTCATAACTGCCATTCTTATGTCACTGGTGTAATTCATACATAATCTTTACATAAACATATTCAAGGAAAGATGAATTATTAAATAACTGTGAGCAACTCGCTTGTTATATAACAATAAATGTTTATTAATTTATATATTTACTCATTTCAACAGGTTGATTGCAGTTATTACTGAGTAAAAATGATTAACTGTATTAACTGACAAGGTCCTTACAGTTCTATAAATTTACACATTGTTGCTATGTCTCTTTAACAGTAATGTGAAGTATTATATATTTAAGATCTTGTTTCCTCTTTACTTTTTCCTGTCATTTTTGGCATCTTCCTTCCGCTACCATCTTCTAATTCCTTTGCTTTGTAATAATGAGGAGCTACTTCCAGTAACCAACTGTTCTCAATTTCAATAACCTTAAGGGATCAGAAAATAAAATAATGTTTGGCATGATAGGATATGATAGAAAACATGAATATAACGAACAGCCTCTCAGGTTAAATAGCTCCATTGGTAGCAATGCACATTTCAATTAGAGAATTGAAGATGTCATCACAAAATGAACAAGAAGTGGAAAATATCACTTTTTTACCAAATATATTCATCAAAATTAAATATAATATCACGAAATGAACAAATCAAAGAGGACTACCCAAGGTATCAAAGCATCCGACTTGTAGTAAAAGAAGAAGTGAAAGTAAAAAATTGATGCGAAAGCCGATGGACGGCAATGGCAGATAATCACAAAATCGGAGATGAAAAAAACAATTGGTATTTGTCTTTCACTGGATATACCTGTCTCATGTATTCCTTTGTTGTAAACACTAATTCATGATATATCAGCCATCTTGGATGCTCTTCAAATAAACAACTATTAGGATGGACCATTACAGTTTGGTGATGTTTTACTGTCTTGTACTGACCACTTTTACTAAGTCTTGATGTGTGATAGAAGAAGCCAGCTGTGATGGCCTGTAGGGGGTAAACCACAAGTACACAAGATGTTGATAGACATAGAAGATAGCAAACAAATTAGAAGTTTTGAGGTAACATGGTATATTCTAATGAGAAAAAAGACGATACAATGGGCAATGTATTATGTCAACGAAACATGTAACTATCATAACTGAACAAACCAATATAGTTTATATGATGCAAATAGTCCAATGACAAAATAAGGAATACATGTAGTTCATAAACACAACAAGTCATTGTTATTGACATAGTTAGAGTTAGAATTAGGGAAAATGTTATTCATGCCAAAAATAAAGTATTATGCACCAAAAGCATAGTTAGTAATTGAGAATAATTGGTTGGCTTATTGTCAACAGAAATAAGATGAAATATATGGTCAGAAATTAATGGCTTGTGTATAGTGGTATGGTCAAAAAGCAAGATTACAGGCAGTCAACCATCTTTGATCAGATTGTGAAACTACCGGTAATTGTCATGGTCATGTATCCTAACATGAATAATTTGAAGGTAAAAGAAAAATGTAAACAATGAGAGAATAGGACAGAGGTTGACATCATGCAAATAGCCCAATTTATAAGAAAGTCTTACCTTTCTAATTGCTACAGGATCATGAGAATTTGTCGTGGGTTCAATTTCCACTCTTTCCATCAATCCCGCTAATTGTTCTCGAACATCACGTGCTCGTCTCATAGATCGATGTTGAATAAAATTCTCAAAGCACCATTGTGTGGAATGATCTGTTTCCACCCACTACAACAAAATAATAATTATTATAATATAACAATAAACGAGTGATGGCAATAATCAACCCAAGACCACTGGTCAAAAGCAAGAACGTAGTTAATGATAATAGTAACCACACAAGCAAACAATACTGACATTAGAGTTGTTAAAAAAGAGGTTATTTTGCATTATTTTAAAATTAACCTTTTTTTCTAAGTGGAATTAACCATATATTTTTAATTTTATTTAGTTTTCACCTACTAAACCAACCAATCATTTAAGCAATGCATTTCATCCGGAAATTGCACATATCCCAAGTCTGACACAAGAGGGCAGTATTACAATGATGAAACACAAGCACTACCTGATTGTAGACATTCAATAATGTGAGATGGTCTCCACCTGGTCGGAAGAAATTGACTCTGGCATTATCAGCATGAACTATTTTATCCTTTGGTCTGTAGAATATAGCACTATTGACTGATAACATGGCAGTGATTGAGAGGATTTCTTCAGAACAACGGTATCTACAAACAAAATAACAGATTAACATAAACTGACACTATTTCATAATACACATCGAGTGAGTCATTATCCACAAACAATCTGATGTTGATATTCAGCACTTGGAGCTCCTTCCTATTTATACTCCCTTATTGAAGAGTTATATATGTTGAATCTAGCCATCTGATTGGCTGCAGCAAGGTCTTATATATATATATATATGATCTGGAGCTGAATAAACTGGCATTGCCACTCGCTGGGCCTGTTTTGTAAATTGACCTAAATGCAAAGATTCACAACTAGAAACATTGTATTTTTTACTTTCTTTTTCTTGTTTATGTGTTTAATATTGTGCCGTCAGTATTTATATCGCCAGTTTGTTTTAGCTTTGAAATTTGAATAAGAAATCTAGAACGCGCACTACATGGTAGCTAAATTCTGACCCCTCAAAATTTATTAGAACGACAGTTCACACAAATAAAACCAAAAATCCATGTGGAAATCATACAATATAGTGAAAATTGGGTATTATGTTTTTGGAATTATTACACTATTAGGTGTTTTAACCACGCCTTATGAAAGAAGTACCATATAATCCAAGGAAACAAGTTGGGAGGATTGGAAATTTACACATAGCAACGTGATATAAACAGCTATTTTATAGCATATTTCTTGCTTATGCTTGGTTATTATCTCCTGCCAAATATGGTAATTTTCTCCAGAGAGGTCTTATATTCACTAACAAATATCCTCACTTGCTTTTTATAACCTCTAAATAAACAACCGTTGAAGTCTGGTATACCACAAGAATTTTCACAATGCACAAGTGTCAGGAAGTGTGTATATAAGAGTGAATTGTGCAAAATCAAGTGGCATACCTGACTTTGACTTTTTACTGCAAAAACACACACAAAAAACAAAAAATTGTACCCATTCCAATTGACCTCTATTTTGTGCTATTCACGTTTGTGGCTTACTTCTAAACATGAAAAACCATGGTATACGGCATTATTTACCATGTACTAGTTTTAAAACATGCTCTTGACCAACATATTTGGGAAACTGAAATGCTGATATAATATTATAGTATTTTTTGGTTTACTTCTGTGAGATGACTATGGATTGGAAAAGGCTAATATAGATCCCTTTTAATTCAATTTTACTGAACAACTAAGCTTCAATTGTACATTTTCTATTTCCGGTACTGGTAATGTCATATAATATAATGTCATATAAAAACAGCAAATACCATTAGAGAAAACCACCTAATGGGTCATTAATATTTTTCCATTATTGCATGTAACTGTATTGTAGTAGATTTTAGATATCTAACTTGTTATGTTTATTTTTACACCTTTATTACATTTTATAAACCAAAATAGATATGTAATTTATTCTATAAGGTTGTACCTGGTAATAAAGAATTATCTTATCTTATCTTAAGAAATATATCAAAGAAATTTACATTACTGACCAAATATGGATGTTTATGACTGGGCATGCAGCAAAAGGAGGTGGTTCTTGCAAATTGCACAAATTGGGCTGTAATATTGTTAACAAAATACAACTATCACTGCACATATTATATATACATACTTTTCTGAAGCTAGTAACATTTTTGACATCATAGGATCCACTGGAAATTCTGCCATCCGTCTTCCTAGTTTGGTTAACTCTCCTAAATGGTTTAATGCACCCAAAGCATAGAGTTGTTCTAACGCCAATACTAATGTCTCATGTGGTGGGGGATCCATGAAATCAAAGTGAATTAAATCATTTATACCAAGGCTTTTTAGCAATAATACAACATTACCAAGGTTGGTACGTTGAATCTGTAAGGGTAAATATACAAGTGATCAAATGATTAGATTTAAATTTGGTTACAGTGGTTCAAAGAAACACATAAATTTTATATTATACATAATAACCTTACTCCAACTGGGGTATTCTTTTCTTAACCTCAGTTAATTTTCCTTTTTAATTTCCTTACCTTCCAATGCCCCTTACCCTCAGCAAATAATGCTCCAAACATTAGAAAACAAATTCCCCTTACCTCAGGTACTGTAGACTCTTCTAATTCATTCTTATATGCCCATGCAGTATAAAGACGAAAACATTTACCAGCAGCCACTCGACCTGCTCTACCAGCTCTCTGATTGGCAGATGCCTAGAAATGTATTATGCAAACATGGATTACAATAATTTGCTTGCAACACTGTTACAATATTTGTATTGATAGCTAGTGCGATATACAGATTTTGAAAAATTGGTGAATAAAAACACTTTATCAAATATTTCCGCACTTTAGCTACTAATATAAGGTTAATGCCTACAGAAATATTGCATAATAATACTATAACATACAACAGCCAAATACTGTAAAATGACTAATTTTCACTGGGTTTAAATTTCGCTGATTTATCATTTCAGGCATATTCAGTGGGTTTTAAATTTAAAGTTTTATCATTTAGATAATGTGTTCTATACTAAAATTCACATATTCATTGGGTTTTAATTTAGCGCATTTTCCAGTCAGTGAAATAAGCAAAATTAAAACCCAGTGAATAATTAATCCTTTTACAGTAGCAAAGATTTTCCTCAAATGAGGATGAAAAAAGAGAGAAACCACTCAAAGAAAGAAAATAATTCTGCAACGAATGATCAACAAAAAATGTTCATTGAATGACTGGTTGTTAAAATAACAGTAAAGCTGAGAATTGGAGAGTAATAAAAACCCTTGCAAACTACCCAGTGAGTATAACCAGATAATTTGTATACAGGCATTTACCAGTTCTTGCAATTGTCAAATAGCACAATCTGAATTGAATCTGTATCTGAATTGAATCACTAGTTCTTGTGATATCAATTGAATAAGATGTGTGATGCAAGTTCCAGTCAGAAACCTAAACATTTCTAAATAAGAAATCACTAATCAAAAGGAATTGCAATTCAGAATAGTGATTAAAATACCTTTGATATTGGCGTAACAACCAATGATTCCATGCCAGTCCTGGCATTATAACTTTTCTGTTTACAGAATCCAGGATCAATAACATAAATAATTCCATCAATTGTCAATGAAGTCTCCGCAATGTTGGTTGCTAATATCACTTTGCGTGCTCCAGGTGGAGTTGGTTCAAATATCTTGGCTTGTAAATCAGATGGTAGATTTGCATAAATTGGCAGCACTAGTAACTCACGTATCTTGGAACCAAGTTTTCTTGTCCTTTCCTGCAAAAAAAAGTACCATCTGGATACTACAGATTCTTTCATTTTCACAGGAATATTTTTATATTTAACAAGCCATGCATGGCACAGTCCCCGTTAGTTATCAAATTTAAGATATATAGTTTTGTTTATAGTAATATAGCTGGAATATAACCATGTCAGGAATATGATTTTTTAACATTAAAATGATTGACATCTGATCGTCAAACAAGTACTTGTCCATATTGAAAGATATTGCTCTAGAACAGCATTAATAATCAGCCATTTTGAATACATATACCGTACTTGACCGCGTTAGCGCCCATGCCCGGGCAAGCGTCCACCCCCCACTTTTGCGCAATTTTTATATTTGGGGTCACATTCGGCAAAGCGCCCACCCCTTCAAAATGCAACTAATTTAAAACTTGGTCTTGCGTAACGAATCTTGGTAATCGTTTTTATATGATATAGCGTGGATATCGACCGCTGTGAACATGTTGTGAATGCGTAGAACACGGTAACCGTGCGTAAACTACGCTTTGACAATGACCTGTTAATACAAGTAAAATGCGGTAAATATTTCATGCCATATTCAGTTTATCTCTCAAAAA